ACTGTCGGAGGTGCAGTTTGAAGGTGATGCAAAGGTGCTTATTGATAAGATCAATCAGGCGGATACCAGAGATAACCGAGTTGGTGCTATTTTGGAAGAACTGCTGCATTATTTTAATAGCTATGCTGGGTTTCATGTTCGATTTGTAGGTCGGCGTAGTAATAGGGTAGCCCATATGGTGGCTCGTCAAGCCCTCTCATTGTACCCGGCTATGAGTCGTTCTTTTGATTTTCAGACCTGGCTGAGTTCCAGGATGTAACTATCTATTTTTTGGATCAATATAAGATTATCTTTTGTCAAAAAAAAAATATTGTTGATTTTCATTTTAAGATTAAACGGATCTCATGATTTGGGTTATAAAACTAGGGACTGGGGTTTATCCATTAGTGGTAGGGTATAGTATCATGTCCAAAACTCAGGTTAATTCATGATCTAAATAGACAAACTCAAACGGGCGTACGGTAGTCTAACGTACGCCCGGGCGTACGCTAGCCTGAACCATGACAAAGGCTAGCGTACGCCCGGACGTATCCTAGCCTACCGTACGCCCGTTGAGTTTTGCCATTTAGACAATGAATTACCCGGAGTTTGGGGCATGATACTATACCCTAACCCCTAATGGGTGAACCCTAGTCCACAAATCACTAACCCAAAACATAATATTCATTTAATCTTGAAATGAAAATCAACGGTTCTGATTCGTCGAAATTATTGTTGATTTTCATTTTAAGATTAAACGCTCAGTAAATGTATCTTTTCACCATAAGCAAAAGATAAAAACATTATATACAATTTCCCTCGTACGCCAAAATATGTTATGAAACACATATATGTTATTATTTTTATTTTATAATAAATGAATGCAATTAAATTCAATCATCCGTTACGTGATAGTAATATTTCAATACAAATTTAAAAATTTGAGTATTTTTATCTAAAATTAATTTTCCATTATTTTATTGTCTTGTAATATACAGCGGTTTTATTTCACCTAGTTTAATCATATCATTATTTTTTATTTATATAGAATTCTTTCTTATATTAATTCATTTTCTATATTTTGTGAAGAATGAATCTTCTCATGCTTAGTCCCAAGATAATAAAAAAGCACAATGCGTGTCTTATGGATATTGCATCGACACATACAATCTTGAAGGATATATTTTTCTTACCTTGAAATGCGAGAAGCAAATGTTAGTACCATATCCGGAAATACTAATTTAAGTGAAGGCTCAGGAAGAGCTAGTGTATTCTTAAAAGGAGGAACCAAATTATATATTGATGAAGCCTTATACTCTTCAAAGTCTCTAAGAAATTTATTGAGCTACAAAGATATTCGCCGAAATGGATATCAAATTGAGACAAATGAAGAAGAGAATGAAGCGTATATTATGATAAAAAAAATATGGTCTCTGGTAAGAAATACATATTGGAGAAATTGTCTAACATTTATTCGGGTGCATCAAAGTTAAATTTAGTGGGATATGCAGATGCAGGATATCTCTCAAATCTACACAATGGTAGATCTCAGACAGGATATTTGTTCACTTGTGGTGGTACAACCATTTTGTGGCGATCCACAAAACAAACTATAACAGCTACATCATCCAATCATGCGGAAATCTTAGCAATTCACGAGGCAAGTCGTGAATGTGTTTGGTTAAGATCTATAATTCAATACATCAGAGAATCTTGTGGACTATCTCCATGAAAAATGATCCCGACGACCATGTTTGACGATAATGCAGCATGCACTGCTCTATTAAAGGAAGGATACGTTAAAGAGGATAGAACAAAACATATTTCACTCAAGCTCTTTTTCACTCATGATCTTCAAAAGAGTGGTGAAATAATTGTTCAAAAGGTCCGTTCAAGTGAGAATCTAGCATATATATTTACCAAGTCACTCTCGATGACAATCTTTTTCACTCATGATCTTCAAAAGAGCTGATGTGATCATGAGGGAAAGCATATAAGATAGCATAATGCAATCTAGTGGTCATCCAAGGGGAAGTATTATGTAAATATTAATATGGATGACCACTGCATTAGATGCACTATTGGATGTATTTGTAATATCTCAACCCATTCCAATTCCCCATTCATTTTCACATTCATGTATATTAATTGTAAGAATGTAGAGGTTATGTGATGTGTGCCTATAAATAGAGGATCTTCTTGTACTAAGTAACATATGAATAAAAAAGCTATATTCTCCTTCTCTTCTTGTGTCCCTACTCTTACTCTTGTGTCCGTTCCTCTTCTTTGTTATTTCATAACACTTTTACTCTTTTTATGAAACAATTACCTTTACTTTCTAAATTTTTTTATAATAATCACCCTTTCTTTTTTCATGTTTAATTACATCCGTTGATTCAATGATGTTAAACAATCTAATAATTTCTTTTTTGCATCAGCATACACGTAATTAAATAATCTAATTCAACAATTTATTCTAGAGGTGACAAATGAATAGGTAGGTTTATGGATTGGATTGATGACCAAATTGACATCTAGACTTTGGACCATCAGATTTTTTTTGAAAAGTTGAGGCACAAAAATATCTTTAAAAATAATTAGGTAAAAAATGCAAGTTTCTAATAATACTTTTCATTAAAAAAATCAAGTTTAGGCATCAAATTGTAAAATATATAAGTATTAAAATATAATTTTAAATTAGTCATTAATCAAATCAATGAATCCGCCAATTTAGTGAATTTGAATTAAATAAATTAAATTTAAATAGATCAAAATTAGTTGATGTTTAGTGGATGAATTGAATTATTAGACTGTTCAAATAATCAGTTGGTACAATTAATAGTCATCTCTAATATATTCTATTAAAAGTGGTTGGTACAATAATGTTAACATATTATTCGGTTGTAATTAATCAGTTGAAGATATTAGATATTGATTTTTCCTATTTTAGAAACATGAGTTACAGCAGAGAATGCTCCTTAATTAGTCAATAAATGCTTTAGTAGTTGACTCATTTAAATAACTACACACTCCAAATGGGATAGTTCGGTTATCCTGGAATTCGAAAGTCGGAAGTTGAAGGTGAAATGATTATCTTTTCAAACCTTATTAGGATTGTAATAGTACCAATAAATGGATCGACGAAGTAATATAACTTTCCAGAAAGAGAAATTTTCAAAATCTATGTTTTTTTCATTGGAATCAGCCACATATTCAATATTTGAAAATGATAATAAGGATTGATCACGAGACTAAGAAGATAGTTAGAGAATGACAAATCACTTCAATTTAACTTTGGTCTTACTATTCATTTTATTAATGGGGAGGTCAATCGAAAATGTGTTGAAGTTGGAGTATTGAATTCGTAAGTACATTACAAATGAAAAAAACCTTGTTTTCTCACTTGCTAGATTGTGTTTCTGATTACTAACTTAATCTAGTTTTATGTGCATTTGATGGAAACTTCAATTAAGAAAAGAGTAATTAACTCCCATTTATTTATTGAAGAAATCCCTCTCGGCTTTTTCTTTTGACTTGCTCTCATTCAATACTTCCTCCCATTACACCGGATGAATTCCCTAAATACAGATAAAACTAAAACAAATTCCTAAACTACCACACTTTTAAAAAAATTTCCCAAAATACCTAAGTTTGGAGTGGTTCGAGTTTGAGGAACTCGAACTATGAACCGTTTTGAGTGTAGGAGACTCGATCTAGTCGTAGATCGATGATATAAGCCTCGAACCATGTGGAGCTGAAGTGGTTCGAGTTCAGTGAACTCGAACCACTCCTTTGAAATTTCCAACAAGCTTAACTTTGTGCTCGGTTATCCGATCGTAGCAAAGTTTTTTTTCATTTCGCATAACTTTTTGAGGACTACAACTTTTATGATAGAAATATTTTCAGAATATATGTAAAAATGTGAAAAATAAAGTTAAATGTACTCCCAAACCACCTTATATTAAAAACTATTCTTATTTTGAAAATTTATTCCTAGTAAATGTTGTAGTACTCAAAAAATTATGCAAAACAAAAAAAAACTTTGCGACGTTCGGATTGCGGAGCACAAAGTTATGATCCTCCAAAGTTTGACAAATTCAAAAATTTGCTCGTTTATGGGTAGCAAATGACGTTTTCTAGGAAGATAGCCATCCAAAAATTTCTCGTTTGGAAAAATATTGCTCTTTTGGAAGAAATTCCCTATATATAAAAAAATTTCCCGTGCCTTCGCCCCGAGAAAATGTCATTTGTTACCCCTAAACGAGCAATTTTTTGATTTTGCCAAACTTTAGAGGATCATAACTTTGTGCTCCGCAATCCGAATGTCGCAAAGTTTTTTTTTATTTTGCATAATTTTTTGAGTACTACAACATTTACTAGGAATAAATTTTCAAAATAGGAACAGTTTTTAATATAAGGTGGTTTGGGAGTAAATTTAAATTTATTTTTCACATTTTCACATATATTCTGAAAATATTTCTATTATAAAAGTTGTAGTCCTCGAAAAGTTATGCGAAATGAAAAAAAAGTTTGCTACAATCGGATAACCGAGCACAAAGTTAAGCTTGTTGGAAATTTCAAAGGAGTGGTTCGAGTTCACTAAACTCGAACCACTTCAGCTCCACATGATTCGAGACTTATATCATCGATCTACGACTAATCGAGTCTCCTACACTCGAACCGGTTAGTAGTTCGAGTTCCTCAAACTCGAACCACTCCAAACTTAGGTATTTTGGGAAATTTTTTTAAAAGTGTGGTAGTTTAGGAATTTGCTTTAATTTTATCTGTATTTAGGGAATTAATCCCATTACACCATTAGCCATTTCCTCCCTCCGCCCTTTATATTTTACTACACAACAATTATGCTTCTCCACTTTTCCTCCTCCAACTCCTCACTTCATCACCACCGCCACCACCACCACCGTTTTCCCTCGCGATCTGCTGCTCTTCCAAATCCCTCTCCCGGAAACGGCAACAATTCACCTGGTGGCGCCGCCGCTTCTTCTTCTTCCCCTTCCCCAATGGATTCATTCGATTTCCCGGTCGCCAGATCGCCTCGGAAAGAGCTCCAGGGTCCCCGCCCGCCGGCGCTCAAAGTCCGCAAAGATTCCCACAAAATCAAGAAGCCTCCCGTCGCTCCCAACCCCAATCCACACCCACACACGATCCAGCAGCATCAATCCCACCCGCACTCGCAGCCACGCGCCCCCATTATAATCTACACGGTTTCCCCCAAAGTGATTCACACCAATCCCGGCGATTTCATGAACCTAGTTCAACGCCTCACCGGCTCTTCCTCCGCCGCGGCCTCCTCCTCCTCCTCCAATCCTTTCACCGACGATCCCGGCGCGATGTCGCCAGCAGCCAGGTACGCGACGATTGAGAAAGCGAAGTCCCCCAAGGATAAGGGGAATTCATCGATTTATCCGCAGAGTGGGAATGGGGATTTGGGGGATTTCTTCATGGAAGGGGTAGAAATGGGTCAACTGATGGGGGGATCTCAACAGGGCTTGTTGCCGCCAGGGATACTGTCTCCGGGACCGGCTTCGCTGCCGCCGATATCTTCGAGCTTCTTCTTCTCTCCACCGTCGTCGGCGACGGCGGCGGATCCGAGCTCGATAGGGTTTTTCCACGACCTTGTAAGCCCCGCGGGGCAACTACAGAGCAGCAGGAATTTCTTGGAGAGCGGGCTGTTGCCGAGCCCGTCGAGCTTCGTCGCTGGCTTCTCTCCGCACATGAATTTCGTCGCCGGGTTCTCCCCTCACACGAATTTCGTCACCGGGTTCTCGCCGCAGACGAATTCGCCGTTCCCGTCGATTGACCTCTTCAACAATTTCAACTCCGGCAACTTTGACTTCTGATGAGAAATTCGTTTTATCATTTTTACTTTTTTTTTTTTTTTGGTTTTCCTGGTTCACAATTATTTCGTAGCGCTCAGCCGCTCATCTCATGGATGACGGACGCTGACTCAGATTCCAGGGGTAGAAGTGGAATTTGACTGGGAGTAGGAGGGGTAGATTGGAAAATTTGTGTGAATGATTTTTCTTTTATAAATAATTTGGGTAGGTTAGCTAGTTGGGACATTTAATGGGATTTTACCAAGGTTGTCAACCCGCGGGTTGACCCGCGGGTCGACCCACTTTGACCCTGACCAGGTGAGAAAAACGGGCCGCACACACCCGCCGGGCCGACCGCTACAAGATACCGGGTTGGAGGTCAAATTGTGTCATTTTTTTCATTGGTTTGCGAAATGCGCCTATTTTCGGATTTTTCTTTTCGCCTAGCTCAATTTTTGGATGCTAAGTTGAATATTTGAATATTTATGTTATATAAGTGTGTGTGAATTTTCACTATATGTTCGATCTATATACGATATGTTATTTTGGTGTAATATTATATGTTATAACTCATATGTTAGATAAGATTTGATATAATTTATGAGGATAAGTACAATATAATGACTTTTTCCATATTTCCGGGCCAAACCGGGCTAAAACGGTTGGCCCATTAACCTTTGACCCACTAGCTCGACCGGGTCCGGGTCAACCCGCGGGTTGACAACCTTGGATTTTACTTTTGATGAAGAAGAGAAGAAAAACAAATTGGGAAATGGTGGGCCCACCGAGTTGATAGGGAAAGGCAATTTAAGCTCACTACTCATCATTTTCTCTTCTTGTTTTGTTTCTCTAATTTTCTTAGTTTTTATTTCCCACTTTTCTTGATGTCTCGTAAATTGAATACTTATTTATGAGAATATACCAAATTCTTTTTCTTTCATGTACTCAAATTGAGATGGACTTGGGAAGCAATAAACAAAAATTAGCAATTTGATGATATAGTCTTTTGTTTTGCTTCCTATTTATTTTAAATAATCCTTGACATGTAAGATTTTGTCTTTTGGTTAATGACATTGTTGTGGTACTAGTGCTTGGGTGTGTAGGATATTGTTCTTATGATTCACCTGGATTAATATACACTTGTACTTCAATTATGAAAACAATTTCGCATTGTTTTCTTGGAAATAAAGCAACTGATTCAACGGAAAAAAAATAGTTTCATTAAATGTGTTTTTTTTTTATTGTTTAGGGGTCGTTTGGATGGATAATTGGCAAGGTGGTATTTGTAGACACAAATAATTCATTTTTTTGGATTTGTAATATTTATGTGGTATTTGGGAAAATTGGAAAGTTAAATTATCTTGTTTGGATGAACCAAAACATATGACTTATTTACATGTGGTAATTAGTAACATGAAGTGGTGAAATACCATATTGCCCTCAACACTTGGTTTTATTTCACAAATTATCTTGGCTTAATTAGTTAGCTGCTATTTTATGTTCATCCCCTGGAAATTACATATCTTCTAATTAACATGCTTTTGCAATTGCAGGGAAGAATAACAACGAAATGGGGTTAAAACATAAATTAGCATAAGGTAAGCTACCTTGTACAGCAACACACCTGTAGGGACCAAACAACAAATCTACAAAACCCTCCAGCAACCATCAATTGAAAAAAAAGCTCTTCTAATTGGATGCTCTGTTTGTAACATCCCGAACATTTTCTTGACGAAGATATTGTCCGTTTTGACTTCTCATAAGGTCACCCATCCTTGTTGTACTCCACACTGAGCACGTTTAACTTCGGAGTTCTCATAAAAACTCCTACATTTCACCCCAAAACGCGTCTTGTCATTTAAAGCCGGTTTCCTACTTGTGAACCATGGATTTCTCCCGTGCTTTGTCGATGTGGGATTTGTCTAAGGTGTTACATACACCCACCCCCCTGCCCCTTGGGACTCAACGCCCTCGTTGAAGTTTGCCCCACCATCGTTCAAGAGGGACGCGGAGAGGCTCTGATACCACTTGTAACATCCTGAACCTTTTCCCGACGAAGATATTGTCCGCTTTGGGCCTCAACCCTCACGGTTTTCGACATGGGGTGCAATTCAAGGTGACTTCCCATAAGGTCACCCATCATTGTTGTACTCCACACTAAGCACGTTTAACTTCAGATTTCTCATAAGAACTCCTCCATTTCACCCAAAAATGCGTCTTGTCATTTAAGGCCTGACTCACACGAAACTACACCACAAATTAATCCCAACTAGAGCCCAAGTTTTTAAACTCTAGTCGGGTGCAGTATAGAGCAAGTATTTAAATTGTCAACCCGGACCGGTCCATGTACCCCTACTTCAATCGCTTAAGTTGTTATCTAGCAAAATGGTTTTGGGTTTTCAAACTAAGAAAACTACAAACTAAACAAGCAATAAAGAAATATTCTAACTAAGGGAGCTTCACCCAGGAGTTGCTTCCCCTTAACTACTAACATGGTATGTGAACCAAAATAATTGCTATGGGCACGGTGATCGCGAACCGATAGGGGATGCAAATATGGTCGTAGACCACACTCATGATTGCTAAACCGAGGAATACAAATTAGGTTGTCACTCGGCCCTCTCGGTTTAGGAAATCGATGGTTGACTTACTCCCTCACTCAACTCGATGGTTAGACGGCTTAATCGCGCTTAACCAAATTGCTTAATCCAATATTGAGGTTTGCCCTAAATTAACCTAGTTAGGAGACTTAAAAAGCCCTAGGAATACCAACTCAATTGAGTCTCCCTTGGAAGGGGGTTTTCCTCTCTAATATAGGTTAAGTGGCTAATTAGATTGCTAAACACAAACATGCACAATCCTTAGATTGCTAAGCACAAACATGCACAATCAACATGAATAATACCTCAATCATTGAATTAAACAACACTCATAAACAATCATTCAATCTAAACAAGTAACTACAAAGTATTAGTTAGGGATCTACAACACCCAAGATAAAAGAGTGAGTTTCTAGAAAGAGAGAGAGGGGAGATTACAAAGAAACCTCTAGATCTCCTTCTTCTTCTTCTAGGCTTGATTCCTAGCTTTCAAGCTTGATCAATGCCTTCTATTAAGCTCCAAGATCACTCCCTCTCTCACTAGAACTCCCCTTTGGTGTTTTGGGTTGAAATCCTAGAGAAAGAAAGTGTTCCTTCTCCAAAAACCAGCTCCCCTTTCTCTCTCCCCGCTATGAACTGCGGTTGTTTTCTGGACGCCTGCACTTCACTGTTACGGGGCAATTGTCACTTCAGACTTTTCTCGGTTTTTGCAGTTTATGACCTCCAATTATCCCAAAATTCGACCTCGACCCTTCCACACGTGCTAGGACCTGAAATGTATCAAAACAAGCACAACCTAGCGTGAAATATGTCGAGGAACAATGAAATACTAAGCTAAACGAATAAGAAATGAGGGTAAAATTTGTACATTTGAGCCCGAATCAAGGCCAGTTTCCTACTTATGAACCATGATCTCTCCCCTGCTTTGTCGATGTGGGATTTGCCTAAGGTGTTACATTGTTCTTACCTGGGCAAACAAAAAAAAGAAAGAAAAGGCTTAAGGAAGAATAATAAGCAAACAGACAAGTCCATATATCCTTCTTCAGGCAAACTCATTCTTCAAATCCCAGATCGTTTACCAGCGCCACCCATTTCTGAATTTTTACCCATAAATCAACCCCAATTGATCTAGAGAAATTAAAACCCAGATTAAGAAATCAGAGAAGAGCGTCGGGGGAGGGAATCAAAACCTACCTCAATTCCATAAATCAATCGAGAATGCAAAAAAAGTTAGAAAGGAGGAATTTTACAATACTTTAAAGTTGGGATTCTCCAAATTGAAGCATTTAATCAATTTGTGTATTGTAATTTGATGTATTGATGAAATGTATGAATTTGAAAAATACTTTGTTTGGAGGTTTAGATTGTGCTTTGTTATAAATAAAAAAAATAGAGGGTAGACAATCTCTTGGTCACAATCTCACATTTTGGTAGAGATTGATATCACTCATTTTGAGTGATTGTAGGTGGGCCCAGAGAAAAGTAATACATGTATTGGGGTAAATTACAAGGTTGGTCACTGAAAGTACTAAAAATTCACGTTTGGTCATTAAAAGTGTTTTATTTCATTTGTAGTCACTAAAAGTGGTTAAGCGTTTCACGTTTGGTCACTCTCCGTTAGTCTCCATTAAGTTTAGCTGATGTGGCAGTCAATTCTGATAGTTGACCGTTAAATGAATGGCGTGGCAATCAAAAAATAATTAAAAAATAAAAATTAAATTTTTATAATTTTCACAAATATTAAAAAATATAATTCATTTTCTATCCCCCACCGTCCACCTCCTCTGTCGGTACCCTTCTCTCCTCGACCTCCCTTTCACCACCGTTGCTCACCATACTTCCACCAGCGCCAACAACCTGCAGATAGTTCCCGCGGCGAACCAGCAGCTACAGACTACGACGAGCAAAAAGCCGCCGCCCAAGTGAACCTCCACCATAGATCGACACATCAAAATCGACTAGTTAGACCTCTAATTAACCGGTCAGCAAGAATGGGAAGTGTCCCATATAGAGCTCCAACAGAGTCAAACCCATGCTCTAGATGTCGGTGACGTATCCGTCGTAGTTCTTGCCGTACAAATCAAGATCGAACCGCGTTCGGGACGACTGTGGACGCCACCGCAAGCCATAAAAAAATCCCATTACCGCCAAACAAAAATTTGGGCCAAATTATCGCAACTGTCGGAGTAATTCCTCCACAATTCCCCGAGCCCAAAGCTTTAGCTCTGTGCTGCTCCGATGGCCTCTCTTCTTCCTTATTCATCATGCTTCTCTCGGAGAGGATTGACCTCTTCGTCGCCTCCTTGTCCACTCGGTTCTTCTAAGCCTTCGATTGGTCGAAATTCGGCGATTCCGTCCTCGGTGGAGTCGCATTAGAGAAGAAGGCGTCGAGCGGAAGTCAAAGCGTCGGTAGGGTTCCTCCTGTTTGTAGAGCGTCGTCTTCTTCCTCCTCCGCCCTGTTTCGCGACTGAAAAATCAAACCTCCGATTTCAGGCATCCTCTCTTTAAACAGCTCACGACTGAAAATCAAACCTCCGATCGATGAGTTTCTGGTTTTGAATTGCGAAGTGTTCTGGAAGATTTTCACCGAAGAGAGAAAGGTGGAGAGCAACGGTAGATATGCCATCACCGAAGAGAGAGAAGGATAGAAACCGATGACTGTGACGATTCTCCCAAACCTATTTAAGGATTATAGAAAATAGATTTTTCATTTTTAATAGTTGTTGAAAATGAAATGGAAATTGTAGAAGTTTAATTTTTATTTTTAATTATTTTTAATTGCCACGTCATTCATTTAACGGTCAACTATCAGATTTGACTGCCACATCAGCTAAACTTAACGGAGACTAACGGAGAGTGACCAAACGTGAAACGCTTAACCACTTTTAGTGACTACAAATGGAATAAAACACTTTTAATGACCAAACTTGAATTTTTTAGTACTTCCAGTGACCAACCTTGCAATTTACCCATGTATTATGTCACAAATTTAATAAAAAAAGACTTAATCTTGACATTACATGCATTGGCTAAATACATCGCTTGAAATCGCAACCTCCAAACGACCCCTTAGTTTTTGCCTTTATTGTACAACTTGAAGTTGAACCTTTAACGTTATGGTACACTTTTGGGTTGAACCTATACTCTTTTGTAAAATCTCTTTATGGTACAAACTAAAGTTGTACATTCATGTTATGGTAGAACTTCAAGTTGTTCAAGTTGTACCATAAAATAAATGTCAAATTCTCTTATAGTACAACTTCAATTTGTACTTTTGACGTTATGCTACAACTTGAAGTTGTACTTTAAAGCACCAATACTTTAAAGTATAGTAGAAATACTCAGTAAGAAAGGGACGTCAGAGGAATAAGCTTCTTCGGCATCTCCGCTTCTCCTTTACTGGCGGTAACTCACCTAAAATGAAAATTCTAAACAACTCTGCTTCGACCTTCTGCCACTGGTCAGAACCACCACGCACCCAAGATCTTCCTCTCCCACTGTAGGCTCCTTCTTCTTCCCTTCATTTGACGTCATCCAAAACGTCCCCAAGATCAGAACGCCAAACCGAGCTTCACTGGATTCTAAAGAACCACAAAAATTGATTTTCCCCTCAATTGATTTTTCTTTCCGGGACAGAAGAGAAGGAAGGAGGAATCGACAGTTTATTTTCAAATAACGCGTGTCAGAATAACTCATTGGATAAATTGGGGGACAAAATAACTCATTTAAATACCTCATCCAAACGACCCCTATTATTTTCTCGTATATTTTTTGTTGTTATTATTAAGTTTGTAACTACGTATAGGCCCAAGCGAGTGTTGAAGAGTTCAAGGGAGGGGGCATTGTTTACATGAATGTATAATTTATGTGTGGAAAGAAATGAGAGTTGGTTTTGATGAATAATTTTAACTAATCAATTTGATTCTGTAGACACCACATTTTGTCCGGGCGATTTACTAATTATTACGACAAAATAAAAAGAGTTGAGAGCTCGATTTGTCTTTGGGCTAGCAATAGCAAATCCTAAACATCATTTCAATCAAAATATACTTAAGCACAAAATGGTTTGAAGTCGAACTTTGGTGGTTTGCTTTGATTAAAGCAGATTGGATTGGAACTAGGGCTGGGAATCCGGTTCTGGTTTTCCGGTTAAACCGGAAACCGGCCAGTTAAAACCGTTCCGGTTGCAACCGAAAACCGAATACCCATTAACCCAATCCAATTTACAGTTACTATGATGGTATAAAAAACTGGGCCGGTCCAGTCCGGTTAAAACCGGATAAACCGGATAGTAAATAATAAAGTCAAGCCCAGCTCAGCCTTACTATTAAAGCCCACTACACCAATTCTCCCAGCCCGCCAACGAACCCCAGCCCGCAAACACCCCTATCCCAACCCTAAATTGCATCTCCTCCTGGCCACAAACCTAAAAATTGCAGCAGCTATCCCACCGCCTCCATCAATCTACTCTCGAACGATTCCTTCCCTTCTCTCTGACCATGTTGATCTCCCTCTACATTCTATAACACCACTTCCAGCCCTCCCTCAACCCCCTCTCTAACTAGCCAAATCCCTCCTCAATCTCCCTAATCCATCCCACTTTCCTCTGCGATACACTGGGCGACGAACGCCGCCGAAGTTCGCCGAAGTGTTTGCAAGCGACAATAACGGCGATGAAGGAGTCAAGGAGCTCTCCGAGTCCCCTGCACGCGACGACGGCGGCGGCGAGGAGGCAGAAGGCACAAACAAAGACAATAGCCGATGATGGTGACGATCTCCGCCACTCCACCGTTCGATTCGGCAACGACTTGGGTTTGCATGCAATGGGGGAGAGATTTCAGGGAGGAGAAGAGGGATAAGGAAGAAAGATCGAGAAAGAATAGAGAGAGAGATTGAGAAAGTCAGAAAGATATGGATGGTTGAGAAGTAAAGCAAAGATCCCTCCTCTGCCTTATCTATTTCATTGTTTTTTTTTTCCATTTTTCTCCAAACGGCAACGTTTTCTACAAGGGATTAATGCAAGCCCGGTTTTCGGTTTAAAACCGGATCGGACCCAGTCCGGTCACGGTTGAAACCGGATGCCATCCAATCCCGTCTCCAGTTGGGGTATTTGTCTAAACGGTTTCAAAAAACCGGGTTAATCCGGTTCGGTTTAAACCGGACCGGACTATTTCCCACCCCTAATTGGAACGTTACAATCATCTAAATTTGGACTTCAAAGGAAATGTACGACTACATGCATGGCTATAGCTAACTTTAGTTGTCACAATTTATTCAAAAGTTTTGTAGGGTTGATCAATTCAATAGATTTGATCCCCATATATTTACATGAACTGAAATCTAGATGACGAGAACCATAAAGAAAATAGATTGCCATCAACTAATAATTACAAATTAGTTACAATTAATCACAATAGTGGTTACAGATTATGCAAAAATAAATAGTGTTTTGTGTCTAGGACAAAGCCCAAGTCAAACTCAGGTCAAAACCCACCAGTCAACTCCCAAATCCCGGTCAAGAAAAGTCAATTATAGTCAAAACCGACCAAATTGACCCATTGACCCAGTCCAACCGATTACCAAAACCGGTCAGACTCGAACCGGTCCTGTAGCATGCTTGGGGACCAAGCTGCCTTTTTCCCTATAAAAGACCCCTTCGACTCTTGCAAAAGGGGGACGGCTGGCTGGGATTTTCATCTTCTCCTTCTTCCCCAGCCTTCTTCTTTCTTTCTTCCTCCACTTTCCTTTCCCCTCCTAAACGCACAAACAAACAAACAAAAACCAGAAAAACAGAAGTAACACCTACACTCTTCTTTTGAGCAGCAAACACACATACAGACAACCCATCAAAAGAGGAAAAAAAAGAGAAAGATTCTGGAAATTCTCATTCCACTTCCATCTTTATTATTGATCCAACGACGACAACAACAACGAAAGCTAAAAAACGAAAAAGAATCAACAGGCAGAGCAAGGAGTAGACAAGCAACTATACCCTTCATCAAACTTCAAGAGACAAAGGTAGCACAATAAAACTCAATCGATCCATTGCAATGATTTGGGAAGGAAAGTCGGATCAATCGTTTCTCCACTTAGCTTCATCATCATTCATGCTATCTAAGTGTTTTTATTACCAACGAGCACCATATTTTGATTGTTTCTTGTGCTGTCGGCCTTTTTGTTAAGTTTTCTTTTGTGTTGTTCTATCTAAGCAAACCTCAATTCCCATAATCGAATTAAACCCAGTCACAGACCCGCAAATTCCAGCTCCAAAACCATACACAAAACCAAACTATACTCCATCATCAACACACATGATTCCCAGGCTCAAACCCATCACCAAACTTACAAACGCCTCTTAATCCCAAAAACTTACCAAAATAAAAGTCCACCTCTTGTCATTTTCGTCGACGCCGGTGAAACACAGCTGCCGGCGGCGACCCTCTGTTTCCTTTCGTCCCCGTTGCTTTTCTCCCTTCCATCGATCGAAACCTAAACTGAAAACGAAACAAAAGAAAAGGGTTCAGAGCCCCAAAACTTGCCCGAATCGGGAATCAAAACCAAAATAAGACCTCACCCATCTTGTGGCGCCAGCGCCGGCGACATCGCTAGTGCCCGTATGCGGCGACCTTCCCTCGATTGTTTTGCTCCTCCTCCATCTCCACCAGGAAACTTGAAAATCCAGAAATAAAAAAAATCATCAGAAACCACATTCAAATAAAAAACCCCTAGAAATTGAATATGCAAGCCTTGAATCTGGACTTACCGTCGATTCGAGGACCGTACTTTCTTTTTTCGAGTCTTTTCTGTGTTTCCAAAACGAACACGAGAGAGGAGTAAGAAGTAGAAGATGAAACGAGAAGGTTGCAGATTGCATCGTTTCCTTTTCCTCTCTTTCAGTTTTGTTTGTTTTCTGGAGAGAGAAGAGTGGAGAAAAGATGATGATGGAGTTGGCGGCCGCTAGATGCAAATGGCGGAGGGATTAGAGTTTTGTTAAGTGGTGTGATAATTTGTGAATGACAACTTTGCCCTTTAGTTGTCAGTTAAAATAACTACGATTCTGATTTGACAATGCTACTAATTAGGCCGTTAGCCTGTGTCATGTTATGATTAATTGACACCTAATTTTTAACTTGACACGTTTAATACATAAGTCTCATACCAATTCAACATGACAAAATATTTAGCTTAATTTAATTATGATAATTATTTATACATGTCAAAATTTCTAAATATTTAATACTTAAGCAATGGTCAATAGACCATGCTAGTCGTCTTTTACAAAAATCTTTGAACAATTATCAACTACTCAATTACAAAATTAAAAAATGTTAAATATATTCAAAAACTCAATCTCATACCTTAAACACGATCAATAGAACGTGTTAGGTTTCATCCTCTAAAAACTTTTCAATTGACGAACTACGTGGACTTTGATCCCGATTAACACGGGTACGTAGGCAACCAATAGGTTCGAGTTCAACTAATAAAAAATATTTTCTTTACTTTCTAGATTTTGCATCAATAGATGGATAATCTAATTGTATACAAATTTTAACTCATTATTCCAATTGGACTCCAAAATACATAATTAACAAATTTCAAATAATGAATATCTAATTAATCGAATCATATAATTAAATACATCAAAGCCGCAAATAATAAATACACCAACCCTTCAAAACTTATCGATTTAAGTAGTACCCATTTGGGGCGTTGTGGGGTGTGAATACACTTCCCCACACGTAACCGTACTCCTGAACCCGGATTCTCTAAAATTTCGCAGACCAAATCCCGGTTTCGACGCTAAGGTCGAGACCGGCCAAAAGGTGTTCGATCCACCACAAATATGATCGATGGCGACTCCGAGCAATTCGCAACGGATACCTCGATTTTCGAGGGGCGGTTGCGACAGTGGCGACTCCGCTGGGGACAATTGAGAGTCGAGCTACATATACTAGATCGATAAGTTTTTCTTACCTTCTTTAATATATGGGTGTTTATTTTTAATTTTTTGGCATATAATATCACGTATTAAATTATTTGCATACATGCATAAAAAGCTCTGTACCCGAGCTCTACCTTAAGAAACTGAAAGGAGTACCGTGACTTTTACAATAGTAGGAGTCATGCGAAACTTTCTAACCAAGTTGAACTCAAATCCAAGGTTGATTTGAGGTATTCGGCTAGCTCGAAAGAGTTATAGACGGATACAACTTGGGAACCAATATCCTAGAACTCATTACCCAGCATATAGTCAGTCTAGAAGCCACCTTAAACTATCCAAAACTTATCCCAAAGCCACCTTGAATCTCCTCGTTAAACCTTCTATGAACTCTAGATTTACCTAAATAGAATTATGTTGTTGGTCAATTTACATGTATATTTGTGTATGATGCAATGATTTGTGCTTTATCAATTCCTCATAATATTATTATCTTATTGGTACATAAAAATTCCAAAATTCATGACATTTACATACTCACATAAAAAAAATTTATTTAAATAAAAAACACATGCATCCAGTAAAAATCATTTTGCATCCATACATCAGCATTATTTACCATAAACATCATATCTACACATCAATTAACTAGTAACAAAATGAATTGGCAAGGGTTCCTTAAAATTGTTCACTTACAAGGAAGAAGTCTGCCTTTAAGTACCAGATCCAAGGTTGTGCACTTTATTAAGTCATTTCAGCAGAAATTGGACGACATCAAAAGAAGCTCAAAATCCTAGAACAATTAAAGAGCAAGCCACAAATGTTCTGCGACATTTGAAGAAGAACCAAATTGTCTAAACACCAACTACAACCCACCACCCAATCATCAAAACCCGTATAGAAGTCACAAACCAAAGCTTGATTCATGATTGATGCCACTTTGCCATGCTGAGAGTTGTAGCACATTTTTCTTCATCGAGAGAATAAAAGGATCATTCACATTTCTATTTATTTGGAACATTTTTTGACTTCTATCAATCTCGATTTAGAAGTTTGCATCTAATTTTTTTTTCAAATGATTGACAAATCAACTTGTTTTCTCTTTAAAATCAAATTTTTATTTCATGTTCAAAGTTAAGCCATGAGATTACCATGTTAAGAAAATGAGAGCACCCCACTGGTGTTGAGCGAATATGAGCACCCAATTGGTCTTGAACGATTAAGCACCCCACTGGTGTCGAGAGTGTGAGCCCTTCACTTTAGTTGAGAGTATAAACACCCCACTGGTGTCCACAAATTATGAGTGTCTATAGTCAAAGGGTGTAACGAGGATACGACATCACGCTACTTGTAGAATCTCGTCACTAATTGAACAAACCTTTTGCTGGCAACATATTCGGATAGAAGAGCATTCAAATAGTATATCAAAGATATGAATTTGCCAGAAGTTTTGTTTCATTGAGAAAGAAGTAACTACTCAGCCTAGCCGACAAGAAAGGATTCTCATATTATCAAATGACTAAAACAAAACTCTTAACCTTTTGATGCTCGTGCTTCGAAACACAATATCAAAACGAAGAAGAGCATATATGGAGCATAACCAAGTCAAGTAAGTCTCACACAAAAAAAAATACATAAAAAAAGAAGCCAAAAAGGAAAATCAAAAGAAAAGAAAAAAAACTTCAAAAATATTGTGGGACTTACAAATTAGATGCCCATTATCAGCATTTGAGTCACTACCGTTCACGGCAAGTCAAGATGTTTGTCAGCCAACATCAGCAGAAAACCCTAAAAAGAACTTCAATGATAAGGCATTCATATCCAAGTTCTCATTCACAAATACCTCATTTATCCACTACTCTACCCCAATTCTAAAACCATAATCTTAAGACAAGGTGAAAACGTAAGATGCATTCCCTAAGATGTCCAAAAGCGACCACTAATTTCGAGAAAACAAGACTTCCTCAGAAAAAATCATGATAATAGCCACTAGGATCGCCCTTACCCATCAGTTAATCCCATACTTCGGGGGCAAGCAAAATTTCCCTCAACAAAAAGATTCACATAGCCAAAGCCCTTCATAAGAGCCTCATTTATCCGCTACTCATTTGAAAAAAAGATCCTCATGGTTGAAAGCATTTAAGACAAGGTCATCCTATCGGGGAAAAAGGGATTCCCAATACCATATCATGTTAGCATCTATTAATCTCATCATCCAAGATCCCCCATTATGGAAAACCGTCACCTCCATTTGGACATCAACATAAAAGAAGGCATCTCATGGCGACCAGAATCTTAATGGTAGCTGAAATGTCGTATACTCAAAGCACCCCTTAGGAATGAGTGAAAGTGAAATCAAGCATGACATTGAGGTGCGAGTGAGTGCTTATGGATTGTCTCATGGTTTGACTAGCTCACTTTTCACTAAAAAATGAAAAAACATATTTATCAACATGGCAGTATCCCCACAAAAGTTTATGCACAACACCAGGTTCTCATTATACTTTTCCAGCCACACTTTTCATACATTTTTGCACTCATCTTAAGTCGAGCTTGATAAAGTCACTCTGTGTTCCGAAGATTAGAAAGTGAATAACATGTCCTGGGGGCAAGGATGGTGTAGCCTTAAAGAAGAAAAATTCATAAATTCTCACAACCCAAACTACCCAACTTTTCAGCTCACCAGTTTAGAAATATCAAAGAAATTGAGAGCACCCTTGACTTCAGTCAACCAACCAATCAATCGTTCCTCCACAACAAAAGGAGCACAATACATTACACCAACGCAAATTTAAGAACTCTGCCTTGGACAAACGAGAAGCCCGAAGGAGGTCCGATCAAGAGATCCCACCATTGAGCACAACTAAGGATCTAGTCTACAAAAGGCAATGATACAATTCTTGTGGGCCTTCAATTTAAAGGAGCCCAGGTCAACAAAAACAACATATTTCCAAAACAATTGAAAATGCATCATATCCTCTATTTGCATATTCACAACATTATCATTCATTAGCATGACTCATCACACAATCATTTCCTATATCATTTTCATACTCGTTCCATTACATCATCATACGTCAAAGTGATTTGTTATTCATCACAATCATCCCAAAAAATCTCTCAGAACATTTAGAAATGTATGTTAAAAATTTCGTGCAATATAAAAATACATGTTATTAAAAATGATTAACTTGATTTTACCGCAATCATTTATTCTCATTGTTTGTTTTAATTCCTATCATGGAAAATTTGACTATATCATCCTTACAAAATGGCTAGCTTGATTTTACCGCAGTCATTTTTCCTCATTGTTTGATTGATTTATATCACGAACAATTTGAGTGGATCTGTTAACAAAATGTTAGTTTGATTTCTATCGCTGACATTTATTTCTCATTGTTCGATTTGATTTCAATCATAGACAATTTGAGTACAACGTCCTTACAAAATGATTAGCTTGATTTTTCCGCTGTCATTTTTTCTCATTGTTTGATTGATTTCTATCGCAAACAATTTGAGTACATTATACACAAAAAATGGTTAGTTTAATTTTACCACTGTCATTTCTCTCATTGTTTGATTGATTTCTATCGCAAACAATTTGAGTACATTATGCACAAAAAATCGTTAGTTTGATTTTACCACATTCATTCTCTCATTGTTCGATTTGTTTTATATCATAGACAATTTGAGTACAACATCCTTAGAAAATGATTAGTTTGACTTTATCGCTGATATTTTTCTCATTGTTCGATTTGATTTGTATCATAGACAATTTGGGTACATCTTTACAAGATGACTAGCTTGATTTTAACTTTATCATCTTCTCATTGTTCTATTTGATTTATATGATAAACAATTTGAGTACATCGTTCCTAAAAATGGTTAGCTTGATTTTACCGCTGAAAAACCAACAAATAGCGTTGACGTGCGCTTCGTTTACGTCATCATCAGAAAAACTC